CAGCTGCAGTTTGCTGCCGGCAGCCGGCGGCCATGTGCAGGTCCCTGGGGCCACACTTAGGCCGGGGTGAGGTGGGCACACGCAGGCCCGGCGGCCACGCTCAGGCCCGGCGGCCACGCGCAGGCGGGTGTGTGTGTGTGTGTCACATGCAGGCCCCGCGGTCACGCGCAGGTGCAGGCCTGGGAGCCACGCGCAGGCCCGGCGGCCACGGGCAGGGGGGCGCTGATCTGGGCTGCCGGCCCACGTCGGCGCCAAGCGCGGGACACACCCAGCGCCCAAGAGGCGGTGGGTGCCGGGCGGCCCGGGCTGCGCTACGTGGAGCAGAGGCCCGGCCGCCCAGGCCCGCTGCCGCCAACCCCTTGTGTTTCTTAAGACTCACTTTCTTACTTTATTCTTTCATCTGTGTGACTTTTGCTCCTCAAGTGTTACTGTGACCTTCCTGACTAAGAACATCAGTGATGTCCTAAGAGCTCGCTCCTTCTGTTTTTTTTTCCTCTTAACTCCATTGGATGTCACTGTTCACCCAAATCAGTCTTCCCTTTTTAAATGTCTACCTTTTCTGGGTTCAGGGGACATTCAGCTGCCCTTCTCCATTTTTTTTCCTCTGGCCTTTCTGCCTTACTGAGCTGTTATATTGTTCTCTCAGAAGTCTGGTGGTTATAACAACTTCTCAACTCTGGGTCCACATTTTCAGCTCCTGTCTCCTAGATAACCTCAGGCCCAAGGCATCCTCACCTATACATGTGAGTCGCATTTTCCTTCCTCTTCCTCAGAACCTGCCTTTCTTCTAGTCTCCTCACCCGTTGTTACCATTCTCTCTGCCCACTCTGTCCTTGTTTCCCACCCTGGGGACTCTGGATTCATCTTAGCTCCTACCTCTCCCTTCCTCATTGTTCAGTGATTCACCAGGTCCCACTGGTTCCACCTGGAAGATGTCTTCACATCTACCTCCTTTCTATCCCAGGATCTCAGGTCTGGCTGTCTTCATATCCTGTCTGTACGGTGCTCCGGGCAATCTCCTTGGTCTGTACTCTGCTTTGCCGCTGGGATTATTCCACTAAAGAGAAACCTAAACGTAGCACCCAGTGGTCCAGAGGATGTGGTTCCAGACCACATCTGTGGCACAGACAGTCTCGTCCCAACCCACGAGCCAGGCTCTTTTCTCTACCTCTCCCCACCTCCTGGTCCCTGCTGGACTGGGCGTTCCACTCCCCCCCTCTGTGCTGTTACAGGATCTTGGCTTCAGAAACTCTTCTTTTCTCCCTTCACTTGGAGGAAACTCCTCAGTTTTTGAGGGACAGTCCAAATAACACTTTTGTGAAACTTCCCCCAATTCTACCAACCAGTTAGTCACTCCTAGCTTGCACTGGCTACAACGCTATCGAAATCTTTCGCTGCCACCCATGCCTCAGTCACATGCCCATGTTTCTGTAGGGAGGGACTTTCTCTTACTCATTTGTCTTACAGACTGTGCCTGAGCTGGGCACAGCCTAAGCTCATGATAAGGTCTGGTTTGATACATGGCTGAATGAACCTAGGAGTGAATGCCAGATGTGTGGAACTGCAAAGTCCCTTAGGATGGTCCCAAGTCATCCTGGCTGAACTGTTAGGGATTCCTTGTCTGGGGTGGGCCTGTTTTTCTCTGCTTCTGGTTATGCTCTCCACCAGGAAAAGGAGAAGCTGTATGTGGAACTTAAGCACATCTTGGCCCGGCAGCCTGGACCTGAGGCTGCAGAACAACTCCAGATCTACCGACACACACTGCAGGAGAAGACCAAGCAGCTTAAAGTAAGTGGCAGCCTCTGTGCTTTCCTGGTTGGAGGGAGGCCATGCTCTGGGCTACACACCTGGGCAAGTCCACTGCCCTGTACAACGAACCCATGTCCCAAACGTCACACTCCACCGGTATCAGCTTCCTTAGAGTTCTATTCCCAGGAGGAGCAGGGCAAGCCTCAAAGCTACCTCCCTTCTCCTAGACTGTTAGACACCACAATTCTCTACTTCCAAAAAGAGGCAAGAGAGGAAAGAATTAAGCAGAGGAGGATGGCAATAAAATGGGAATTAGGGGGACAGGGTTGTGTGGGTGATGACTTAGCAGACTTGGATGGTGGGGAGGAGCAGAGGAAGCTTTCCAAAACCATTGAGCAATGGAGGCAGATCACTGGGTCACAACAGGTTTCTGCTATTGTAGTTCCCCTGAAATAAATGCACACAAAACTGAAGCCACTCCCCACCCCTCAGGCTCTTGCTTTACAACCATCTATCAGACACTTAGCAAGATTTCTGTTTAGCATGAAATTCCCTCCTGAGTGATGTGAGAACCTCACCTGGGGAGATGGAGTGTTTTACTATTACACGTGCTTTATAAAGGTTTTCTGAAAAATTGTGTGTGTTTATGCTATATTGTGAGCTTCACTTCCAAAGTGAGTACTTAACTATTCTTAGCGTGTTGGGGCAGTTGTACACACTGGCATTCACAGAATGTTCCATAAGCCTGTTCAATTCTGGCACTCCTCTGCCCAATAAGGATACTAACTGTTGCCTTTTCTGCCTGGGGTAAAATGTAAGTGGTCTTTAGAAAGCTCATGGGAAATGAGTGTTGTGGAAAACCTGTCCATGACTTTAAAAATTAGTTTTGCACCCATAGAAAGTTTGTACACTAATTTCATTTTCCACAGACATTTTGGAGTCCCTTCATACATGCCACTTTGCTGGTATAGCACTAACTTTTTCAAAACCAGGATGTTCTCAAATCGCATCTTTTTACTTAAAAAGGGAGATGAAACAGAAGTCTGGTTAGAATGCTAATTTTCAACTTATTTCTTTGAATGTTCATTTCACATTAATATAATTTGAGCTTTGCATAAAGTATATTTTGACTGTTTTTGTTCCTTTAAACAATTGAGTAGTTCAAATAACATAACAAATTGTTTTCCTGCTTTCTTAGGGGTGCGTATAGATTAGAAAAGTACAGATCCATCATGTCTACACTTGGTTCTGAATTGCATTCAATGGATCACTAAAAAATTCAGATTGTTGTTCAGAATGAAATGTGAGACCCATGGAAGAGGTTGAGAAGTTGGTGGGAATGAGTGCGTCTGCCAGTTCATTCTCATTATCTGGACTCTTAGGAAATCCCACATTCTTTGTTTAGAAACTGGGTCTTTGTTCCTCAGAGTTTAACTATTAAGACAGATTTTCTTCCAACATGAAAATCTCATGTTCACGAGAACATAGTCATTCAAAAGGAGAAGCTCTCCCTTTTATGCAAATCTTTAAAACAGATAACAAGAGGAAAAACAAATAGAATCTGCTGCATGCCACTTAGAACCACAACCTTGCTTTTCTTCCCTTGGTTTTGTTGGGGAGTGCATTCAAACTTGTTCTCTACCCTATTCAGAGGAGTAAATTCCTACACTTCTTGTCCAGCCAGAGACTAGTAGCATCTATTGAACACAGTCTTGGAAAAAAGGCAATTACTCAGGCTTCTTACTGCAGCCCCCCACACAGAGCAGTCTCTCCTATACACATGTCATAGCTCCCTGCGTCCTAGAGCAAAGCATCCCAGTGCTGAAATAAAGGGAGAACCTGCGAATAGTCCTGAAGAACACAGGAAGAGATGATAGACATTTAGCAGAACAACCATCTTGCAAAACACATAAAATGAATGCCTACTTAGTGGTGGCAGCAGGATGATTTCAGAATAAGTTTTACTGTAATCCTCAGATGAATCACACTCCCTAATGATGTTTCCCTTGAATATTTTTTGGAAAAGGCTTTAAAATAATAAGCGTGTACACTAATTCCATTTTTCCACAACTGTTCTGGAGTCCCTTCATACATGCCACCCTGCTGACATGTATGAGACCATGGGAGAGGTTTTATTTTGTTTTTTTTTGTCTCTATGCATAATATTCCTTCAAGCACATCACACCATTCATCTGTGAACCTGTTTGGATGTTGCCCAGTCGTGCTCTCTTCAAGTAGGGGGATGACGTTTCATTTAAGCGTGTCACCTGATTAGGGGCCTTCAGCCCTCAGCCTGATTTTCTCCCAGATACGGACTTTGAGCCGATGGAAGCATGGAGATTAACTGTTAAACCTGGGTATCATTTTATGCCTCTAAGTCCCACTGAGGTAAATGGTGGTAGATGGGAGGGATTTTTTCAGAAAAGGATATTGTCTCCCTGCATGTCTTCTGTTAATGCTGCATTATTTGCCTTGTTAGGTTTTGTCTGCTGAATTGAATATGTATGAATCACAGAGCAGAGAGTATAAGTATGAAGTCGAGAAACTTACCAGTGAATTGATGAACTTAAAGAAGAAATACCTTGCTCAGAAACGTAAAGAACAAATTCAGAAGTAAGCCTTAACCAAATGTTTTAATTTTGTGGGGCTTATTATCTGCTCCTAAGAAAATATTTGGTGACTAGTATAGAGTTGTCAGTCTTGCTGGGATAATCTAAGTCACAAGGTGAACAAATGACATTCTGCAGAGCAGTTCTTATCAGAGCGAGATCTGTGTCTCATCCGATATTAAGGTCTCTCCTTAGGACCCTAACAGGGTTCCACTAATATCTGCTCATTGGTGGATCTAACAAGGAGCAGAAGAAACATAATGAGATTTTCCTCCTTTTTGTGCCATTCTCCTGGTTTGGAGATAATTATTCTTTAACTGTGTCTGCAAATAAAGTTCAAAATCAGTCTTACACAGGCTGAAAGATATTCACATCTAAATGAATATGTTTATTCATTTCAAATTAGTGGATCCTCCTTCTGCTGAGGGGATAAGGCTTGATCACGCTATTATTCCCAATAATGTAGCTATATCACTGCAGTTATGAGCAGTTCACCCGTGTTTTAGGTAAACTGTCTCTGAACTGTCTTCTATGTCTAGCGGTTGACTTTAGTATCTGCTGTACACTTTAGTGTGGGCTGTGGACTTGAGCTAGTACCCTTCCAGGAGATGATCATACGGATGTGAGGTTAACATTTTGGGTTTCAGATGTCTACATGTTGAACGGTAAGTATTCTCTTCCCTTTATTATTATCATTTGCCTGATCTCAGGGTAGGAGAGGGCTGCTCCCGAATGGATCAGTGGTTTTGAAACTTGAAGACTGGCATGGCCAAGATCATCCAGTTAATTCCGTAGTGGTTGAAAGCCATACTTGCTATTTCATCCACATGGACATTTCAAGGACATGGTAAAAAATGATTGGAGTGCATCTGCCTCTGATTCATCAGTGGCAAACAGCTAGGCAAAAGAACTAGATGCAAACTCATTTGCCAGGGGAAACCTGCCTTTCTTGTAAATCAGAATATTGCCCCATTCTACACTGAGATGACAGTTCTGCAGTAGAGTAAAATACTGCTATAACTCAGATAAATCTCTTTTTTTTTTTCCTTTTTAAAAATATTGCTAGAAGGCATATGTGCTCACCAAAGAAAGAGAAAGAAAAAGGGAAAGTGACAAACTACCTCTCCCATAGAATGGCCACGTTGCAATCTCTTTTCTTCCACTTCTCCTTTTGGGATTTTGCGTACACACATGCATGTGCCTGCATACCCTTCAAGCCTCCAGGGCTTGGACTTGAAAACACAGAGTTGGCCATATGAGATCCAGCCACCCTAACCACCATGCCATCTGCTGACCCTTGATAAGTCTATCTGGGTCTGGGTCTAACAGAGACTTGATTCAAAATCACTAGTAAGATTTGTTGAAGAACATGCAGGCTCCCAGACCCTATTCCTGGATGTTTGGATTGAGCAGACTCTGGATGGGCCTCAGAAATCTGCAATTTAACAAGCCTCTTAGGTGATTTTCAAGCACACTGACGTTTGAGAACCACTGATATTAATGACATCAATTAAATGAATGTTGGGGTAGACACTGTAGGTTTCTTTTAAGACATCGAGGTTGTGCTTTTAAAATGCCCATGTGAGGCAGGTGTCTAGCTCTGTGGTCTTCAAACTCCTGGATTTAACACCCTTATCAGTAAAACATTTTGGAACTTGAGTTTCCACCCCCTACCATACTGTATAATGCATGTTTTTTTCTTTTTAAATAAAAATGTAATCTTAGAATAGTTTATGATTTTTTTAAATAGGTTTGTGCATGTGTACTCACCAGAGAGAGAGAGACAAAGGGAGAGATAGAGAGAGGGAAAGTGAGAAATCACACCTAATGGGAGGAAGTGGCCACACCACTGTCTCTTCTCCTTCATTCCCCTCTCAAGATTTTGGCATGCGTGCACATGGCCTGGTGTATTTTTCAAGTTGCCAGGTCTGGGACTCAAATCATGCAGCTGGCCATGAAGGATCCAGCCACGTTACTCTATGCGCCACCTGCTGGCCCAGAATAGTTTTAAATTTACTTCCAGTCTGTCTGATTAAAAAATTACTTGCAGAGGGAACCAGCAGTTAGCATAATGGCTGTGTCGCTGGATTCCCACATAGTCGACCACGGTTCATGTCCCGGACCCGGTGGCTTAAAACTCATGCTGGGCACATGTGCGTGCGTGCTCAAGATCCCGAGAGGAGAATGGAGGAGAAGGGATTGTGGCGTGACCATCCCCCCTGAGGGGTAATTTCTCGCTTTCTGTCTCTATGTCTCTC